GATAGATAGATAGATAGATAGATAGATAGATAGATAGATAGATAGATGAGCAGATATCCATATGTGGAAAGAGAGAAAGGGAGGGAGGGAGGAGAGAGAGAGAGAGAGAGAGAGAGAGAGAGAGAGAGTGAGAGAGAGGAGAGAGGGGGGAAGAGAGAGAGCCTGGTTGCTAACCTTCTGGTAATGAAGTTATGTGATAAGGAAGTGATGATGACTCATAAAGAAAACATGATGGATGTTCTCTATGTCTCACATATATATCCGCAAACACTCACCTTTTTTACCTGATGGCCATGCTTTAAAGCCCAGCTCAAAGGCTACCCCTTGGAAGCATTTTGTGGTATTTTTTTTTGTCTAATACACTTACTATGTACTATTTTGTATTAGTTATCTATGTATGTATATTATCCCCAGCTACAAGACTCTATGAGGGTAAGCACTGTAAGTTACCTAAATGTTGTAGCTTCTCTGGTGTTTGTCACACTGGTCTGTGTATAGTAGGCTGTGAAAAAAATATTTAATTGATTTTTTTCTGAATGTGAAAAATTATTTCTACAATTTAGGGCTAAATTCGAATTCCAGATTTTTAAGACACCAATGAAAACTGTAGTTTCTCCATGACTGTCAACCTTTTTGGCAGCAAGATCTTTTTAGAACTATTCTGAACATGATTTATAATACAACTGATCATCTATACTCCTTCTACCGATAAATTTGGGTCCTGGCTCTCTGCCAATCACACTACCATGTAATATAGACTGATGGTGGTTGATCAGTGCAAGTGATAATCATGGGAGGGACACCTTTGATGTGAAGGAGATAGTAGACAGCCTTAATTAATGATCATTTTGAGAATCTGTCCATGGTAAGCATAGGTTGTGACTATAGTTAAAAACTTAAAAGCAAACAAAATACCTGTATATTTTCTTTCTAGTCATATAATATGGGAAGTCCAACTTCCTGAGTGTAATTCACTAACTACTCACATCCTGCCATTTTACAAATGGTAGACATAGGTACAAGCTGTTGATCTTGCTCAGCAGGACAGACCAAACACACAGATGCATTTTCTGTATGATGAATAATGAAAGCGTAAAATTCAAATACTCATGACAATCTTTGCAGCTGGAATGCAATTACTACTATTTTCTTTGTTGCTATTTTATTTTGTTTCTTAAGGATGTTTATCGTAGGATGGTGAATTTAAAGTTGGAAGGAAATTTAGAGGTCATGTAGTCTAATCTCAATTTACAGATGAGCAAATTGAGGCTGGAAAGGTTAAGTGACTTGTCCAACATCACAAATGTAGGGAGCAGCACAGCTAGTATTTGGATCCAGTTACTCTGGATCCAAATCCAGTATAATATAGGAATTGCATAAATATTTTTGGTCATTTGTTAGTTCTGAAATAATTTATGTCATGTCAAATGGATGAGCCAAAAAAAAATTAAAATACTGAGCAGACCATATTTACATGACATGTATGCATAGCCTTCAAGTCCAAAGGTTTATTTTTAAATTCCCAATTTACCATAGTAAGGCTAAATTTTATATATTATATAATTGTGATTATTTCTTCTCTAAGATTTGAAATCTAAGCAGGAAAAATAATAGTAAATGAAGGCCACAGAAGTAATGTGACTTACCTGATTATATTTTTCTCACTGTCATTCACTAATCATTATAATGTGTAGATTACTTAGGAAAAACAAAATTCACGTGACTCTTAATATTTAGAAGTTGTTGATTTCCCTGACTGTGATGCCATTTCCCACTGATGCAGAATGAACATCTCAAAGTAAATTTGAGGCCTACAAAATATGCTATTCTTCCTTCATGAGAACATATTAAGGTGTCACATACTAGTTTTCAATGAAAGGTATTGGAAATTGACCTTGGATTAGTTAAATGCTATATTGATAGTCTACAAAAGTTCAACATCAAAATTCAGCTATAAATTTATTTTGCCTTTTTCATGAACACTCTGTGTGCTGGATAACATTAACTGTTAATGGAATTAAACTAAATGAAGCTATCTTGTACACTGCCTTTACAAAACTCAAAGGAAAAAATGAGAACTGAGAATGAAAAACCCCCAACAGAAAGCGGTATAGTAAAACTTTGTAACTTCTTTGATATTCATCCCTTTTCTATAAATATACCTCTTCCAGCTCTAGATCTAGGATCCTATATGTCCCATTATAGTTTGATCATGTAAGTAATAAAATGAGATGGCAGTGAATTGAGAGTTTGGGAGACAGGTATCAAGAGAAAAGGTGTCTATTTCTCTGAAAAGGGAGGTATTTGATAAACATGATGAGGCTTCGGTGAGAGATAAATACATCTTTAGCCATTTACTTGAAAGTAAAGAACTAGAATAACAGTTGCTTTCCATCTTTTTAAGTTGGGAATCCTCAGTCTATGAAACTTCAGTTTATTATTGCTTCTTTCTTCTTCAGGTTTTTACCCCCTTCTGCAAATTTGAGAGTAAGAGAGGATAGGTTTTCAAAGACATACTCTCAGTGTGGATTATAATGACAAGTGTGTTATTCAGACCAGGTTTAAGTTGGAATGTTCCCAAATTTATCAGGGACCAAAACTTTATTTAACTGCTGCCCAGTCTTCTTTCATCTGTATTTTATTCGAGGGCATGCCTTCCCTTTCCTTTTTCTCCTTTGACAACAGAAGCACAAGGCTATAAATGCAAGGGTGCAATACATCATGAGGTAAAGTCTGGAGAACATGTCCTCTACAGAAATGCACCTCAGTTCTTGGCAGCACCAAAGTGTCAGAAACCTCCCAGTTTCAGTTGTCAAGTCTTGGAGTCAAAACTGTAAGCTGGACGTGGCTCCCTTTCCAATAAGATGTACCCAGAAGTTGAAAGGTTATGCTTGTAGAACAGCAGCTGCTTTTTCCTGTGGTTTGATTCTCACTCCTACAAAGCAAAGAAAGATTCCCAGACTGAAAGACAAATCTGACAATATGCTAATCTTCCAATAAAAAAAAATGTGACTTCTGAACCCTTATCTGTTGAAGAGCTGACAGTGAAGTACAGAGATGGTTGTCTAACCAGACAAAACGATAGAGAAAATATGCCTTCAAACAAGATCATAAATCTTGAATAGTGCAGGGGAGCAAATGTAAAACGAAGGGCTTCTCGCTCATGCCAGCCCTACTCTCATCCACCCCCATTTCATACACCAGCCACCCACCTCTAAAGCCAGGACTAGTGTGTTCCATACTAGACCCAAACTATAAATACAAAGAGAGTATAAAGTAATATTATATCATATGTGGAGATCAGACATTGTTTCCATCTCATGGGGGGAAGGGAAAGAGCAGAAAGCAAATGGAGTGAAATCTGAAAACAACAGCATGTACAATATACACACACAAAAAAGTTTGCATATTGCACAGAAGATCATAAATCTATGCATGAGAAAGATGTAGTGGAAATTTTGGGGGGGATTAGAGTTTATTTTTGTCATCTCTGTGAGACAGCTACTCATTCATCCAGATCACAGCTAAGAAAAAAGCTGGTCACAGAAATTAGCAGTTTCAGCTCAGCAGCAAAGTCGCCAGCCTGTGAAGGCAGAGAGAAATTGACTAATTAGCAATGCGCACTAAAACTTGACGGTTCTTTATAGAGAGAGAGAAGAGAGAGGGAGAGAGAGGGAGAGGGAGGGGGGGGGCTCGCTTTTTCCCCTTCTTTCTTCCAAAGATGTTTGAAATCGCAGTCATTTACGCTCGACAATTTTTACAATAGCCTTGAGCCATAATTTTGCGAGTCTCTCCAGCATCCATCCCCCTGTATGGTCTCTCTCCACTGGCCATGCACGACCGTTTCTCTCCCCAACCGTGGATTTCCTATTACTCTCGTTACGACTCACTGAGCCCCAGGCCCAAGGATAATGATGTGTTGTTTCTTGGTAGCATAATTTGTCACACGTACATTTTTTCTTCTTCTTCTCTTGCAGAAAGCTCTGCTCCCTCTCTCTCCCTCTCTCTCTCTCCTTCTCTCTCTTCCTCTCTCCCCTTCTCTTTCTCTCTTTTCTCCCTCTCCTACATTTTCTTGCTGTTGCTAATTCATGGTGATCAAATGATGTACGACAAAATAAATTGTAAAGAGTGACTGCTGGAGTTGGGAACCAGAAGGTGTTTTTCCCCCTCCCAAGGAGCGAGGAAACCTTTAAAAAGGAAGGACAATTGATTTTGGGGGGGGAGCTGAAGTGAGCCTTTACTTTAGCAGCTGATTGAGACCAGGTAAGTTTCTGGCCTTCTGTATACCATGTATATGTTTTGTTTTGTCTTTTGGATTGTTTGTTTGAGGGGGCAGTGAGGGAGTCTTTCAGAGGGGTCGTGGGGTACTTGTGTGACAAACGCCTTGAAAGAATAAACTCCCTTTGCAAGAACTGGGCAGACCAGAGAGAGGCAGGGGAGGGAGAGGGAGAGAAGGAAGGAGGGGGGGACAGGAAAAGGTGGGGGGGGACAGGGAAGGCGGGGAGAGGGGGGGAGGAATTGACCGGGTCCACTTAAAGGGAGAGACTCTGTGAGATGTTCCAGGAAAGCCAGAGCGGGGGTGGGGGTGGGGAAGTGAAGGAGGGAGAGTAAAAACGAGGTTGGGGTCCACCTGAAACTGGGCATTAAAAGTGGCTTGGAGAATTACCAGTCTCTAGTCAAAAGGAAGGAGCTCAAGTGCCGGTGCCAGGACAGTGATCTGCAATGGAAGGAGCAGGTCTCTGTGGGATCCCTCTGACGGGGAGCGGCAGTGGCGGCGGCGGCGGCGGCGGCAGCAGCAGCAGCAGCAACAGCAGTAGCAGCAGCGCTCTTTGGAGCGGGATGTGGGCACAGAGGGTGTCTTTCTCCTCAGCCCTGGAAGGTGCAATTACAGGTTAAGAATGAGGTCGTATCGATTGTTCTTTGGTCTCCCTCCTCCCTCCGCCCCTTCCTGCATCTGACCCTCCACCTTTGTAGGGCCAAAGAAGCGGACGCATCTGACTTTTTTCTTTTTTTTTTTTTTTAACAGAGTAGTTGGAAGCTAGGGAAGGTGGGCTAGACTGCAGGGCGCCTGAGTGCGGGTTTATCCCGGGCTGTTGAGAGGGGAAACAGGGAAGAGCTGCCTGCTGCCAGTGAAAGATCGTAGGATAGGGCAGGAGGACGCACCAGTCCCCCCACCTGCTTCCCCCACCCCCACCCCAGCTATCTAGCTTCCAACTTGAACTTCATGTAGTTACCGGAGTTAAAGCGACAGCGCCTTTTGCCCAAGAGAAAGAAACGCCAGGACAAGGGACCCCTCCCCCCAACCTAGAACAGCCCAGGTGCTAACTATGATCCAAGTGGAGAGCGCTAAACTTCAGGGCTCGGAAATTCTAGGGGGCGGGAGGTAACCTCCGCCAGGTTTCACAGCATCTTTGCAAGATTAGCAAAACTGACTGGCGGAAGGAGCAGCCAACAGTTTGAGAACCAGGGGAGCGGGCAGGGCCAGGGTGGGGGAAATGAGCTCGAATTGATAAGGACAGCTCCCCGCCTCTCGGGAGTGCACTGAGCTAGTCACCACCGCGCTCCACTGCACTTTTCCAGGAGAAGAAAAGGCTTTATTTCCTCCATCAGACTGCTATTAGCATAGTCGTTCCTAGGGGCAGCACGGATAATCGAAGGTTCCCCCAGATCTGATTTTATTTCTCAAAGGCCAAGAGTCGTCCACTCTACGGGCTTCCCCCGTCCCGACCTGCCCCAGCACAGCTTCCCTCCCCTTACCCCTCCAAACAAACAGAACTACGAGGAGCCCAGCGGAGGAGGGGACGCACAAGTTGGACTGGAACCTGCCACAGTCGCCTTTCTCCTAGAGCGCCCCCAGCTCCGTCCTTCCTGGGCTTTTCCTTTCCTCTGGTTCTGGGCATGGACAAGAGCCCACGAGTTTACTCGGCCTTAACAGCCCCATGCACCACTTTGCCGTCGCCGCCGCTGCTGTTGCTGCCTAGCGCAGAGTCAGGGGTGTTTTAGGAAAGTGAGGGGGTCGCATGTGAGTGGGGGGTTGGGGAGGGGGAAGTCGCTGGGAGAAGAGCGGGGACCCAAATCTGGTTGGCTTCAAGAAATAAAGCCCGTTCTGGTGCTGCTCACAAAGACCAGTACCCTCTGAATCATCCTCCAAATACCAGTGGCAAGAGGGAGTGCAGGACCAGGGGGGCAAACTGTGTATTTATTGTTGTTCTCCGCCCTCCCCCTCCCCTCCACACCCTTCCCCACCCCAACCACACCCCATCCCCTCCACCACCTTATCCCCCCATTACTTCCCCCTCCCTCTCCCCCACCCCTGTTTGCCAGGTTGGAGGAGGGTTTAAAGCCAGGTGCGCTGAGGCAGCTCGCCATGTCCAGATCCGGGGACAGGACCTCCACCTTCGACCCCAGCCACAGCGACAACTTGCTGCACGGCCTCAACCTGCTGTGGAGGAAGCAGCTATTTTGCGACGTGACCCTCACGGCCCAGGGCCAGCAGTTTCACTGCCACAAGGCCGTTCTGGCCTCCTGCTCGCAGTACTTCCGATCCCTTTTTTCCAGTCACCCCCCTCTCGGAGGTGGGGTCGTCGGACAAGACGGCTTGGGGGCCCCCAAGGACCCACAGCAGCAGCAGCAGCAGCAGCAGCAGCAGCAGCAGCAGCAACAGCAGCAGCAGCAGCAGCAGCAGGAGGAGCCCGGGACTCCTTCCTCCTCCCCCGACGACAAGCTGCTGGCCAGCCCACGGGCCATCAACAATCTGGTGCTGCAAGGCTGTTCGTCCATCGGGCTACGCCTGGTGCTTGAGTACCTGTACACGGCCAATGTGACCCTCTCTCTGGACACTGTGGAGGAGGTGCTTTCGGTCAGTAAAATCCTGCACATTCCCCAGGTCACCAAGCTGTGCGTGCAGTTCCTCAACGACCAGATCTCGGTCCAGAACTACAAGCAGGTGTGCAAGATCGCCGCGCTGCACGGCCTGGAGGAGACCAAGAAGCTGGCCAACAAGTACCTGGTGGAGGACGTGCTGCTGCTCAACTTTGAGGAGATGCGCGCCCTGCTGGACTCGCTGCCGCCCCCCGTGGAGTCGGAGCTGGCGCTCTTCCAGATGTCCGTGCTTTGGCTGGAGCACGACCGGGAGACCCGCATGCAGTACGCGCCCGACCTCATGAAGCGCCTCCGCTTCGCCCTCATCCCAGCCCCGGAGCTGGTGGAGCGGGTCCAGTCAGTGGATTTCATGCGCACCGACCCAGTCTGCCAGAAGCTGCTTCTGGACGCCATGAACTACCACCTGATGCCCTTCAGGCAGCATTGCAGGCAGAGCCTGGCCAGCAGGTAAGAGACAACAAAGAGGAAGGGAGGTGGGGGAGGAGGGAGGCTGAGAGAACCCTGGAAAGAGGGGAGGGGTGCCTTTGAGGAGGGAAGGGGGTGGAGTGGGGGTGATTCTTGGATAGGCTTAAAATGCAAACAAACAATTAAGACATTTCTTCTGAAAGTTAATTTCAGTTCCCCGAAGGGTCAATAGAGAACTGGATGACATGCAGCCCAGTATACCCTAAATTCCCTTTTCCTAATAAAATTAGGCATGGTGGGCTCATAGGCTGACTATGGCATAGGCAGATGTGTGGGGATGCTGGGGCTGGGGCAGTTAAAAATGATGCATGTGCAAAGCTCCTTGGTAGCCCCTATGGTTAGCACCCCCTCCAAGTCCAATTATAAGCTGCCTGCTTCCTCGAGGGAAGGGCTTCAGTAATGAGATGTCCCCCCTTCCTCTTGCAGTCTTAGTTGGGTGATCAGAAGCTCTAGAGTGTTGCTGGGATTCAAGGAGAGCACTGCTGTTCTCTCTGTCAGACCCTCAAGTTTTTTGGTAGTTGATGTTTGTTCCCCTTCAAGGTTATAATTACTGAGGTGCTTTGTCTGTTAGTGATGCTGCTGGAAACCATGTCATTCATCTGCCCAGAAAAACTTTTCCGTCTTATGGAAATCCTTTCTTTTTTGCTTTTAAAGGAGGCACATACCAACAGATGCTCAACCCGAAGGGGTTAATGGCTCCCTGTGACGGGCACAGTCCAGTTTGGGGGGGTCTTAAAATGGGGCAAAATGATCAGGCATAGACTATATATGTTGGGCAAGAGTTAGTGTATGCTGGATCTGAAGTCGAAAAGCAGTTGGCTGGTGGGTTGCTCTTGTTTATAAAGGTGTTGTATGTTGCCAACACGATTATATTGCAAAGGCCAGAGAGGGAGAAATGATTCTTCTTAAGAGCACAGTTGTGGATTTGAAATTCTAAGGATGGGCAGCCATCACTTGCTGGGTTCAATTTTAAATCCTTATTATGAGCCTTGGCAGAGGGGTTTTGTAGTAGACTTTAAAGAAAAATAGAGTTTCATATTTACATGCTAAGCCATTGATGATTTAAAATGCCAGAGTAGGCCAGTATAGTCCGCCAAAATGTTAAATTAACTGAAAGTATTGAAAACCCATCTTCACATTCTGTTACTGGGGTGATCTCTAAAAAGGTGGCATCTACGTGGTACAGCCTTACGGGCTCACATGTTTGTGTTTTAGCCGTTGTACCTTTATCCACTCTTCATAACTAACACCTCATTTTTTTAGAGTTTTCTGGAAAGACCTGATAGTAAGGTGAGAATGATGGCATGGGAGTACTTAAACTGAGAAGTATAGTTGCAAGTCTAGGAAAACCATAGGTAGTGAATTAATGAATTGTGAGGCCAGAGTATGAAAGTCAGATGAGATTCAAAGCAAGAAGTCTGCACCTAGACCTATGACTGGCTAATGAACAAGAAAAGTGCAAATTCAAAGAGAACATGCTTATTTTTGTTTTGTAAGAGTTTCTCTTTTGTCCAAAACCCAGAATACCATAGATTCACTGTGGTGGCCTAGCATTTTAAGATCAAAAATTTTTGTGAGTTTTCAGTCCACATTTTGACTTTTATCTCCACTAAAAGGGCATTGTACTTAAAATAAATGCATAGAACCTCTTCATATTCAAGGCTTAGACAACAGTCTTTCAGTCCTAGTCACAAACCAAGACACCAAAACATAACATAACCTTTATAAATTTAGTATGCACTCAGATAACCAAATGGATATAGAAAATGCCTTCTAGCATTTTACCTCTTCCTATGAGTGTCTTTAAATAATGTGCTTTTTTTTAAGTCACGTATAAAAAGAAATATTGAGAACCTTGTGTGTGGACTTTAGACCACTAAATGTGACCTAGAATTCAATATTCAGAACAGTTGACTTTCAAAATGCAAAGTCTACTACCTATTTTAGTTGAGATTCTGCACACCACCTGGGGCATGCTGGGGCTTGAGTCCTGGTGGATTGCTAAGATACCAAGCTGTCTGGTTCAGTGAAGATACCTTCCAGCTTCACTGGTCCATATCATTTGAAGGATATGTAGTGGTGTTCTGACCACTGAATGCTTACAAGTGTCATGGATGCTGTAAGAATCTGATACCCTTGCCGTAGGAAGGAAACTGTATTTTCCTTTAAAGGAAGAAGGTGCAGGGGGGAAAAAAATCTCCTTTCATGTCAACCCACACTGTTGATTCTATACCAATATGATTTTGTTACTTCATGGTAATTATTAAAAACTGGTATTTTAAATTTTTTTCGGTGAATCGAACATTTAATAATGTATTTTAATTTGCAATAATGAAAAGGGAATTAAGTGTGAAGTTCTCAACATTAATATAGGCTGAGTTGCAGCTTTTAGTATTTTATCTTCT